TATATATATATATATACCTCCATCACTGCTCGGCTTTTGATAACATCTGATTTGCAGGCTTCAGAAATAAATCTGCCGTCTGTGATGCAGCAGCAGCTTGAAGTTAGTAACAGTTTAAAGGGGTGGTGGTGGGGGGGTGAGTGAATTTGAGGATGTGAGCCTTGTGATCTGGCTCTTGTGAAATGGCTGCCATCACAATGGGGGATTTTCTCCACCAGTCAGCAGAACGCTGAAGGCCAGTGATGCAAGTGACCTTCAGTCCAAACCAGTGTGTTTACTGAGGTGAACCCAGTCTGTTGTGATCTGTGATTGAATGTGAGCATCTTAACACCCACCTTCCATTTTTTTGTGTGTTGACATTTCAGACCGTTTGAATGAGTGGGTACTCTCACCTCCTTGTGTGTGCGTGCGTGTGTGTGTGTGCGTGGCCAGACTTCATGCATATCAGGCCTCTCACTGAGCCCCAAGGCCGGACTATATTTAGGTGGCTGGTTTTCGTTTTCTCTCGCTCCCTCTGAGTGGTTAAAAGTGTTGCCCGCTGATTGGGGAGAGGCTGGCCACAGGAATACGCTGCCTCCATGTCTCACCACTGCCATTAGGATAACCATATGTGGAAAAAAAAGAAACAAATGGATGAAGACATCAGCAGGGGTTAGGACGTTMGCTTATCATATACAAGCAGAACCAATAGAGCAGAACCATCTTTAAGCTTTTGGCGTTGGTTTTCTAGCATATATGTTAGATTTTTTAAATTTTGATCCATTCTCACAGCTCTCCTTTGCTGTTATTCCGATTCAAAGCCAATACTCTTCTCACAAAGTGTCCTGAGTCGACAACAGTCTCCAGGCACAAATTTGACACCTAAATGAAACCAGCATTTTTTCAGGTTAATCTCAGATTGTGTTTGGTGACCTTAAGACCCATAATTGGTTAGGTTTGGAGGTCTAAAACACTTGGTTTGCTTTATGAAAAGGCTCTTTTAAAACATTATTCACGCCCAGAACCAAAAACATTCCAGAAGATCAGCTCTAAGCCAATGAGGGCTGACGATTGTAAAACGTAACACAATAACGTAACACCTAATTTCCCCTAAAGTATTTTAAAATTTGAATTGAATTTTGAATTAAATGCAAGACTAGATTTAAAGAGAAAATCCACCTACTGAATGTACAGGAGCTACAATAGGAGTTAATGGTTTTTGAGGTTTATTCACCAGGTGGCAAAATTTGTGCTGACATATTGAAAAGCAACACATCAGGGGAACACAAAGAAAAACAAAACACTTTTTAACATTTTGTAGCAAATCATTACAGTGAAAGTTGACGTTTCATCACAAACTGACGCAACTCATGAGAGCAAACAGCCGTTATCTTCAAAGTGTTCCCAAAGAGCGTTGTGACAAACTTAACCGCATTGATCATTAATTAATTATTTCCCCCAGATTAGGATCTTCTAGACGTTTCCCTCACTTGGACAGACACTGACACAACTGTTGCCTGCAAATGGAGACACCGCCACTTCCCCCACTGTCATCTGATTCCCACTGAGGCYGTTCACCTTGTCCCAAAAAGGCCTGATGCCAGAGTCTGGAATGAGTTCCTCCGCTGGGTGAGCGTTCGCTGACTAGTGACACCAGCAGACTGATGGGACGGGCAGAGGGCAAAGTGGGGGGAGAAGGGGTTGAAGGAGAGGGCGGATATAATAAGAATCTAAGAGAACGAGTGCATAACAGACATATATGGATGCCATCTAATAAAGGTCATTATTTTAGCTGAAATGAAATAGCCAGAGTGCCATAAAAAGACTTCGGCAGACATGGGAGTGGCAAAAAAAAAAAAGAAAAAAGAGTTGACCTATAGACCTAMAACAGTGACAAATATCTCACCACCTTCAAACTGCTGCTGCTGTCAGAAGCTTATTAGTTTGAGGACAGAGTTATTTGCTGGTTGGCTGTTTTCTTTTTTCTGAGTAGTCAGCTTCTTTTATTTCAGCAGACGGTCAGAGTCCAGTTGTTCAACACAAGAGAAAGAAAAACTTCTCACATTTCAGGCTCCACGTCTGTTCTGTCTAAATCATGTCTATCCTTTATTTTTAGTGGCTCTATAAATGCCTTAATGAAATACAAGTGAATATTTTTGTGGTTATACGATCCAACATTGTAACTGCTCACATTTATAACATCAGAAAACAGTAATATAACACTTCTTGTCCCATGCTTTACCGTTTAAACTGATGTTTACTATGAAACTTCWTGTCAAACAYGCTGAATTTGCAGGTTTGTTTTTGCAATTTTGTCCCATAGACAAARTTTAAATTRGCAACATAATACCAAAAACCTCAGTTGTTTGTACACACGTCTGCATTACTTAAACCGTGTTCGTTTCCAGTAACACACTTGCAGCCCTGTCTGTTCACTGCTGTCACGCTGTCTTTCCTGAGGACCCCACCCTTTGTTGTCCCACCTGGTATTAGCGATGAGGGCAGCCCAGTCTGAATGTGTTCGCCTCTGGCTTCTCTTTTATTCATTGCCCATTTCAGGTTGCCTGCTGGAAAGGGCGGGTGCAGAGAGGGCAAAGCAGATGTCAGCGCTGAGGATGAATTGTGCCCCGAGGTGAAGGGGAGAGATAACTGGTGCAGCCTTAATACCCCGGAGACCCACACAGACAGGCAGGGACTGGTTTCAAAGTGGAATACACTCATCTTTGGGTTCTGACTGATACATACACCCATGAGAAACAGGGTTATTGATACACTGGAAATCCTTTTATGATGGGAGAGCTGCAGTTTTAAGCGACTTGGATTACAAAATACATGGATACACACTTATAAAAATCTTTAAAGAAGCCATTTATTTGCTACATTTGCTAAATGTAATGGTTTAAAGGGGTTATGAACTTTACACTGCACTATTTTTTTTACTACTTGGGCTGACCTGCCAGTGTGAGGCAGAGCTATAAAAAATCTGTGACCTGTGTAGCTTTTGTCCTTAAGCACATACAGTATGCTCTGCAGGAAGGCTAAACCATGTCATCTCACTGGTGATAAAGCAGGTCCCAGATGTCTTCCTCCCCCTGTTAGCAGACTTTACACATTCACACTGTCCCACACAATGCCCTTTGTTCTCAGTCAGCACCATATTGGTCATGTACAGTGTTTAGATTCATGCAAATGTTGCCACAGAATGTGAGGTCTGGATTTCCGCTCAGGACAGACAACAGCTCTGTGTTTACCAGAAAGGTAAAATGTAAAYTGAAGTAGAAATTTATATTTTTTCCCCCAATTTATAGCTATAATAGTAAAATATAAGCTAAAAGCTAATGGTAGAAAAGACTGCTAAAACCAAATTTAAAGCTCAAATTATCAGAAAACTAGCTAAAAGTAGCTATAAGGTTTAGCTGAAAGTATCAAAAAGCTATCTAATGTAGCAAAAAGTTAGCTAAATGTTAAAGTAGGACAAGATTGGCTATTTGCTAAAACTAGGGAACAAGCTGAAAGTAGCAAAAGGATAACTAAAAGTAGCTAATTATAGCTAAAAGCTAAAAAGCAAAGCTAACTAAAACTAAACTAAAAAAACAACAAAAAACAAAAAATGAGAAAGTTTGCGGAACCATTTTTAAAAAAAATAGAAACAAATGTTTTTAAAGTAATACAAAAGATCTCATTGCATTTCTATGGGGAAATATTTGGTAATATAGTTAGATTTTGTCACCTTTATACTTTTCAAAACTAAGTTATAGAACCCTTGGCTTCTCATGATGAGCTGATTCTTCTGATACAAAAGGCTAAAACAGCACAAATCATGCAGAAGTTGTTAGATAGCAACAAAAAAAATCACTATGTAAAACAGGAAAAAATGGTTAATGTTGGGAAATTTACTTAGACTGCTTCAGTCCAACTTTGTTTATCACCACACCTATTGTACTCTTATAATTCCATGATAATCCACCACACCTTCTGGGACTTTCTACCAAATAATCCCTACAGCGTGACCTTTGTTACTATGCGAATAAGAAGGAAGGGCAGAAAAATATTGCACTGCTGTTTCATCAGAGCCTGTGTGYAAACCTCAGTGATGTTCTTGGAAAACAATTTACCAACACTTTGGTTACAAAATAACTAAAACAAAAGTGAATGTTTAAACCGAGCACATAAGGTCATTCAAAATTGTAAATAATTTTGTGTTAATTTGCGTAATTTTACCACAGCTGTGTTTAAATGATTCAGATCATATAATATTTTTAAAAAACAAGCACAACCACTGTGGTACAATTTGAGTTTAAAAAAAAGAAAAAAGAGCCAAACAGCTTGCTCAGTTCACGTGTTGCAAAACTTAAAAATGTTACAAAGTTCACCTGAAGACCAGAAATCTCTTGTTTTKGTATGATTGGTTTTCATGTACTTCACCTAGAGAACATAACAAACTGCAATGAACCATAAACAGCCACCGCACCATGCYAATCTGATTCCACAAACCAACAAATAATGACTTAAAGACCATTTTGTGATTCATGTTACKTTGTWTTTTCAACTGTTTGAGTCACGCTGATTTGGTTTTCTCTCATTCCTCTGTCTACGTGTCCAAATGAGCCTTGCTTCTTTTTGTGTCTGCTGCTAAGAAATCTGCACACTGTAAAGTCCTGCAGAAGATTGCAGTCTTAATGCACTCTGTAGTTTTGCAGAGTCAGTTGTTTCAGCCCTGGAAGGATTGTGCATGGTGTCCTGGCAGAGCTTTGCAGAGAACCCGATGGTACCATCTGTCACTGCCTCCCATTTTAGAGGTCAATGCACCGTCAGCTCTGCTTATGTCATTCGTATAACTTCTATAAGTTAAAATAACTCAAATTTGAAAAGAATAAATAAATAAAAATTCAAATTGGTGTTCCAAGAAGGAATTAGATTGCCACAATGTGTTAAATCACTTTTAATTACCTTTTATCCTTGCAAAGGAATAAAATCTTGAAAAAAAGAATGAGAAATCAGCCAGGGATTATGATGCCAAGATAGGAAATCTTTTATTACAGAGAAAAAAAAATCTTCCAAAATATAGAAATCTGTACAACTTCCGCACAATCAATTTACATGAACTGTACAAATTTACAGCAGTTCATTACAACAAACCCAAGGAAAAGAAACTGAACACAACAAGGATGTACTGACATGAGATCACAAGATGCAGCTTTCTTCTTGGGTAAGCTCAGATTTTTTTGTCTATTTTCTTTGTTTTGTAAGTAAATAAGAAGAAAAAAATTAGGAAAAAATACAGAAAATGAAAAATAAAGAGAGAGAACAAAAAACCAAAAAAAACAAAGGATACGTCTATACTTACAGATCGTGGAAACTAATATTTTTTTTACCAAAACAACTTTGGTCCTTGCCAGCACTCCCATTACGAATGGCTTCACTTATGAATAAACGTTACCCATGTTAAAAGATGAAATACAAAAATGAGAAACATAAAAAAAACGCTTTAAGATAGCAACTATTGGCACTTCCCATGTGTAATGGTATGCACTCCACCATTTGTTGTACAGTTACAATACATTCCACAATATGTAAAAACACCTCAAATGTGAAACTGATTGATGACGATATTGACAACAAAAATGCTGTTCCCTTCCCGTTTCATACTTTAACATGCACAACTTTTTTCCATAAAGAGTATTAAATGTTCGAGGCCTGAGTTTGGCAATACATTCCAGGAGAGACTCCTCGCGTCTCAAACAAAGAAAAACAACAACAACAAAAAAAAGTCACAACTTCTGTTTGACATTTAGTGCATTTATGTGCTATTATACTTCTGAATACTTGAATCACTCTCTCGACACATCTGTAACCCATGTGCACACAAGTTGAATGGATGCAATCTGAATAACTGCCTAAAAAGACCGAGCGGATGGTAGTCTCAAAAGGGATTATTTTGAAACTCTAAAACCAAGTTAAAAGCRAGGTTAGGTCACAAGTTTAAAAATTCTTTAAAAAAATAAGATGGGAATGAGTTTACTAGTGTGACTCTAAAAAAGAAAAACAAAGCAGAGAGCGATAAACGCGAGACGAGACGATCGTCTCATGTCTGAAATATAGACCAATCTCAAAACATCTTGTGGCGTGGTGTTAAAAACTTAGAATGGAGCAGCACGGTTTTTTTTCTTTCTAAATGGAAACCAAACCTCTGGGCTCTCATCCATCTGACCAACATGGAATCACTGCCTTCACARATTTGCTGAAGGGAGTATCAGCGGAGTGGAGGGTGGGGGAGGGGTTAGGGGGCAGCAGTGCATCAAAGGCTATAGCTATATTACCCATGATCCTGTCAGGCTTAGTGGAGCTTTGACACCCACAGGTGTGGCGATGACTAAGGCCTGACCGACACCCGTTCCATCGTGAAGTTGTCCACTCAACCACCACAACCCGAACAAGGTGCGGACACCCAAGACAAGCTGCCACGTCCTTTTTGTATGCATGTAAACAAAGTTGCTACTCACTCGGTGATCAAGTGCAGCACAATCCAGTGAGATGAAACAATGGCCCAGTACCCTCAATTCTTCATCTTAAACCCCCCTAATGTGGCTTGAGCATGCCTAGCACGTGTGCTGGTTATCCATCGCCGCTAAGGGAGGGTTGAGGGCTTCTGGTCAGGGTGGGCGGTTGTTGAAGAAGTCCAGAAAAGTGGGGCTGAAGGGACTTTAGCTGCCCTGGACAAAAGAGTCTGGCCCTGGCCCCCGCTTCTCTCTTCCACCAGCTCCCCACCCTGCCMGTCCTTACCCAGCTCCCCGCGGCGACGAATGGTGATATGTGTCACGTTAAGTCTACCTGCGTCCACGGGGGGTCAGCTAGCAGCTCGCTGGCTTTCTTTCGGCTGAACGGGAGGTCTGAGACAAGGGTGATATGTGGCACTTGAGGCACCAACCCTCTACTACACTAATAACAACAGGGTGTAGGAGGGTAAAAAGCTGCCAGGCTGGGAAAAAAAGACCCCTCCAACGAGGGTCTGGGCAGCATAACACTAGCTTAAAGTCACAAATAGATAAGAATTTGAGCATAAAGTCTCCATAAGGCAGTGTACTTACAAACTCCAATTACACAACTTTAGTTATTGTTAATGAAAAAAGACGACCAGTGGGTAAAATCTTGCAAGGTTGTCACTTTGTCGTTTTCAAATCAGCAACTGAAATCTAGCAAGGGGTGCAGCAGAACTCTTTGCCAGAGTCAAAAGTGCCACGGGAATGAATGACAAGAAGGTCTTTAACATATCACCCAGAAACGTTTTCACCCAAATCAAAACCAGCTCTGAAATGTTCACATATACAGTGTTAGGAGGGTTGTTTTTTTTTTTTTTTAAAGTCAGAGTTGCACACTTCCGAGTCAACAGACCTGGGAGTTACAGTATAAACAGCTAAAACTGGGAGAACTGTGTGAAAAGATGACATGCGAATGGATGGAATGCAGGTGATTTTTCTCTTTTTAAAAAAAGGTACACATCCCACACAATCTCACATCAAAGTGCATTCAGTTATATCTAACTGGGCCATGTGACCAAAATTTGGGTTAAAAATACCCCCTTTGCTACACTTTCAGTTTTGGTAATGCAGGGAAAATGGGTTAAAAAGGGGACAAAATGAACACAGAAACTTGATTGTGAACCTTAACAACATTCATCAACTCAGGGGACAAGTCCCCAGAAAGCTACACATACATGGGCAATGGGAGGATGAAAGTGTAATGAGATTCTAGTTCTATGAGTAACCGGGGTCTCATCACTTACCACTCGCACTTACATACAGGGAAGGTTAAAACAAGTGTTCTGAAACTCACCAATGAYAACGGTAATTAGAGGAAGAGAGGCTAAGACCAAAAGCCTTTGTTCCATTAGCTACAAGATAAAGAAAACATGATCCCGTGGTCCAAAGAGGGTTTTAATCGAAACTGGAGATGTTCTCGTTGGGCRTTTCTTTACCCTGAGCTTGGATTACTACTATGGGCACAGCCTAAACCTCAACTTCCTCCCCATCTGGGTAACAAAAATTGAAGACCAGTGAATTTTCAAATGCATGGGGTAAATCCAGAAAAATAAATCCTTACAATTTAGACTCAGGTGTTGTTGTTTTCAGTGCTGTGTTGAACATGTACCCATAGTACCCAAAAGTAAGAAAAGTGCAAAGTCAATGCTGATAGCCCCTTCAGAGATGGAGCAGATTACGATGTTGTGTATTTGAGGGTGGGGTGATGGATGTTCAGAGCCATGGGGAGGTGGGGTGAGGGGTTTCCTGGTTGGTTGGTTTAGCTGCCCCAACAATTTCATTTCCACAAAGCCTCTTCTAAAAATGGAGTGTCCAGCTGATCCAATGACAATACAACTGATGATAACCGGGAGAGCAGGTAAAAAATATCAAACCTACAAGGTTTTTCCATCACCTGGATGATAGGCCACATCCTTTGTTTTTTTTTTCTTTTGCTTTTTTCTCTTCTTTCACTATTTCATTTCATATTCTTAGCTTTTAAACGGCTCACCATGATCTGACCAGCCACTGTGTAACCCTGAACAAAAGTAGGCTGGGGGTTGACAGTGTGTCACTCTAACTAGACACAGTCATCATATTATTGTAGGCTTTGGAGGGGCTGGTTCTACCCAGGACCCTCATTTCTTCTTTGCAGCTGAGGTGACTGTCCACCATGGAACTCACAGACCCATTTCCCAAGGCGGAGCTGGCGCCGGCGGACACCGGCATTCCGACAGGTACGGGCTGCGACTCGTACAGGACGCAGATGGAGCCGTCCTCGCCGATGCGGTAGGACACCTCGAAGGGGTCCACCCAGAGAGTGAGCTCGCTGGGTAGAAGCAGGTAGAGTTGCTGGATGGTCAGGCCGATGCGCTGGCCTGCCTGCCCCACCAGGGGGTCCATCTTGTGGTTGATGCGGATGCAGCGGTAACCTGAGCCTTTGCAGGGCCTGTCTGGGAACCAGTGGTGCTTATAGTGCTCTGGAAGAAAACAAAAGAGAAGAAAGTGGAGGTGGTGTTTAGCGATTTGCTTTTTTGAAGACAAATGCCAAATTTGCACACAACGTTCAAAACACAAACAAGGGCTTTTGTGAACGAACCATAAAAAGAAAAGAAAGTCCAGAAGTACTTGTTTCAGACCTGATAAGCAGCCATAAACAACCAGCCACTAAACCTACGTGACATAAAAGCTGCCACTGAACAGCCCAATTCCCTCCCCCTGGACTTCAATGTCAAAAAAGCTTCCATGAGTGGCTGAAAAAAAAAAAAAAAAACAGTGTCCTAGACAGCCATCTGGGACACAAAGCCCTACCTCTTAAAGGGACAGGACTCCCTTTTCCCCCTCCCATGTTTGTGAAAGTTTCAGAAGCCTAGCGATACCAGTGACACATTTGCACCAGTTGAAACACCCCTTGAGACCCTTTTCCCCAGATAGTCGGACCCTTAAATTCCATTTTGTTTCGAACCTTTTCAATTACCAACCACCCTTTAAAGGTACATTTTTGTCTTCTTCCCAGGCTCGTCCACATTGAGTTCCCATTGATAAGGACTGTATTGTGGCCGTAAAAGAGGRGAGTCTGGAGTAGAGTGAGTAGAGCCTGGAGACCACCTGTATGCGTCCACAGAATAATAACCCCCTACCACCACTCTTATCACAGACGGTGTATACAGCCAAACTAATGGAGTGGCTGGCAACCTTGAAAGACCCGAGCCACAAAGGCAGCTGCCTACAAACCCTGGAGCAGCTGGGAAATGATCAGCCTATTCTTGAAAAACCAGGGCAGGGGGAGGTACTGTAGGGAGGGGGGGTGGAACGGAAAAGTAAGCAGACGCCTGTGTGCTTAACCTAAAGAGTTTAACCAAAGCAGGTTGTTTACTCGTTGGAGCTGACCTCGTACACCAAAGAAACTGTTCCGGCTCGCCGAATGAGCGGTTTTGGGTATTTTTCCATTTGAAGCCAAACTTAAAAGCAAAAYCGAAGCTGAACAACGGCTACACAAAGAACATGGCTCCTTCCCCCTACTTCCTTTTGCTCAACAACAAAACAAGCTCAGCTCTCAGACACAATAATGACTGATGGTTCTGAGCACAAAAGAGCTCTGGTTGGCCTATTTATACATATCATTTTATGCTTAAATTGGAACATAAAGCAAATAAATTCTGTTTATTACAAGTTATTATCACATAAGACACTTTTAGAATTGAAATTGGCACAAAWTTTATAGTAGTAACTTGATGACTTTGTGCCATTTGGGTGTTTAATTTCCTCTATGAATAACCAAAATCCCCCCTCCTCCCCCACACGGACCCCTGGACAGACTCAAACTGTTGCATGTTTAGAATTAAAACCGAGCCCTTTCCAATATATTTACTTATTTTATAAACAAAATGCTTAGTTTTCCCCCTTAATGAAAATAAATTTATTTGTCAGGACTTTTCGACATCTGTTTTAATATAAATGCTCAAAATGTAATATTTTTTCTCCTCAAACGGTTTTTAATCCAAAGTATTTAGACATCATTAAACATTAATTCTGAACAAAATACTCTAGAAGAGGCAGTTTTTGGAAATGTAGGTCAGCTGCTGCTGTAGCAGAGGAGTGAGGCACATTGGGAGTTCCGGTCTGGAATGTGTTTACTTACAGCAGGAAAACCGAGACACAAGCTGAGCTGTAGAAAAACTGTAATCCTGAAGAAAAACGCACACATGCAACTAAAGGGACGCGTTTTTTTGTTACTTCCAATCTTGTAAAACAAAGACGCGCGACTTAAAACTCGTCTATTCAAATTAGTTGGAAAATACATTTTTAACAATAAACAATGTTTAAAATAAGGCTGTGTGTAAAGTAAAGTGGGGAAAGTCAACATGTTTCCTCGGTAAGCCATTTCCTCTGATGCATTACGTAATTGAGSCTCTCTGGAGCTTGTTTTGCTCAGAGCCCTGCGCGAGCTTTTGTCGAACGAGGCGCACTTCCTTGTTTGAGCGTCTTTCCCCCCACCCCCACTCCTAACACAACCAAACATTACGATTTTAATATTTGTGTGTGTTTTTTTAATCAAATATACCATGGGGGTGAACATGTACCGTCGACTGATCATAGTATGTTGTTTTTTTTTTTTATTTCCTCTCCGACGTGCGCAAACAGTGGTGCGCCTTTTTCCMCCACTAGACGCGCTGATCGTAATGATACTTCAGAGAACAAAGAGAGGCTTCTTCTCAAATCTATCTGAAGCCCCAATTCGACCGTTTCGGGCCAAAACAAACACGTAAAAAAAACATTTGGTTTGTTTTCTGCGCGCGTCTTKTGAGCGCATTTTTGGCTGATTGATTAATTTTTCTCTTACCTGCCAAAATTTCCTGTAAGCTCTGGTTGAACGTTTGGACCTGTCGGTCGTTTACGTGTCCTTTTACCCGCAGGAATCTCGACAGGAAGCTGACGGCGGCGGTGATCTCTGGTTTCATCGTTCCTCGGGGACGAAGGGTATGCATTGAGAAAGGCCACGGCGACGATCCGTGCGCTTTTTGTTGCTTTTTGTCCGACTCTCCGCCTCCCTGCGCGATTCAGAGCAGCGATCCTCTTTTGTGGGCGCTCCTCTGCTTTCTCTGGGCATTTAGTACAGCCGAGGTAGAAGCGAGTTGGCAGATGGTCCGTTCTGCGTTTGGGAATAACAAAAAACGCCAGTTATTTGTAGGGTTGGGGGGGGGGTCCCCTACTCCGGTCGGCAATTAGCCCTTGCTGCTGGTTTTCCTCCTCCAGAGTGAGATCTTCACAGAGGGGAGATGGGTTTTTATACTCAGTCCACCCCCACTCCCTCCCTCTCTCTCTCTCCCCCCTTCCTCACGGCGACGTCACAACAACCTCCGGGCAACTACAGCTGACCAATCAGCGGCTCAGGCCGACGAGCCGCAAGGAGGAGAGTAGCGCCTGCGTCACCGAGCTGAAAATAAACAGAGGCGCTCGGCGTGAAATCGCGGTGCGTTCAGGTGACCTCAGAAAAACAAAAACGCTATGAAAATTGACACTATACAGCTCAAACAAAGCGGTCTCTTGAGGAGCAATTCAGCTATATTCCACATAAAAAACAACCAAAAGTATATCTGAGTTCTTCTAAACTTTAATTCAATAGCAGCCAATCAGAAAACACATCAGATTAAACAAACATACACATCTAATAGCAAAACATATGAATGTAACTATATATTCAGGGGCACCACCAATGGGGACCATGGGAGTCATTGGCCTTATACAGTTTATGTACATAATCTCTGTTAGCAAAATATCAGTGAACTGAYATTCTTAAGTAAACCTTTAAAAGTTAATTATATATTTACAACCTGATTCAAGATGGCCACCATAGATCAAACAAAATAATTGCCTTAAAGCAAAAAAAAATCTAGTGACATGGATTCTTTAAAGAAATGATTTTATTTGTAAATAAGAAATAAAAAAAGCTCAAATAAATCGGCTTGTGACTGTGCTGCTTTCAGTTAGTAATATAATCTGTAGCTACAATAACACGATGTTTGTTAAGGTTGATTCATCTACTCTTATATATTTTGGATTATTTTACTAACAGATTATTTRTGACAACAGCATGAAAGCCTCCTAAAATTCTGGGATGTTTCCTTTTGAGATACGCGAGTTTAATAGCAGCCCCCGTTTTTTAAATGTTACCTTAACTCTGTGACGTAATACACTTGGCAAAAGCGACCAACATTATATTAGTCACCACGAAAGGAATAAAAAGGGAAGTAAGTGTGTGCAATACGACGAGAAGTTAGAAAATACCCTAAAACAAAAAACAGAAGGGACACTTTATTATCAAAATCTAAATAAAAGGCAACAAACCACAAAGAAATGCAAAAGGAGAACCAAAACAGTTACATTGGAAAAGTCCCAAGACCAACAAGAGACACGAAATGACGATGATGAATTCTGCTGCATCTGTTCATCACTGCCAGGTAAATAAGGACCAACACAAACAAACAATAATAAAATAAGAAAAATGATTAGGAGGCACAAGATTACCCAAAAACGTTCTGGCATCTGAAAATATTTAGTTGCTGATTGGTTTGAAGACGTGTTTGTGAAATTTGAACTTCACTTGAATCCACTTTGGGACAGTTTGTGCTGAAAGGATTGTTGCTTTTGTGTCATTCAGCAGCTGAGAGAGAGAGTGTGTTTGTTCAAGTGCTGAACAGGAGGCATCTCAATCAAGTGAAACAGCTCACCTGGAGCTAAGCTGGACCCGTCTGTTCATTAAAATCAGTGGAAAAGTGCGAGGGTCCCTGCTCGTTTGCTCCAAACATCATGATGACCTTTTGAGCTTCCTAATCATGAAGCAATCAGGGAGGCGAGGGAAACATTGAGTGGTTCAAGTACTGGCCTCAAGGCATGCAGAAACACTTGAAAGATTGGATTGTTCTTTTGAATGTAGAGGCACAATAAACAAGCTGGGTTAAAAAGCAACATAATTAGGAATTTATTCACGCTGACGAATCGATCGCAAACAGTTTGTTTCATTCGGTGTAATATTTTCACCTGCCACCAAAAGGTGAAGGCGGACTGATTAAGCTTTCGAGTCAACGTGATTCAAAATGGCCGCCACAACCAACTGTGGTTCTTTAAAAAATAAAAAGTGACTATAACTCAGTCAGTTTCACAGACTGAGCTACAGTTCGACGTGGTAGCAGCTGAGAGTTGCTCAAAACACTGAACGTGACTTCTCGCATTACAAGAGGCTGTGCACAGTTTAATGTTTTTATTTATTTACAAGAGTTTTAACTTTAATGACAGTTCTGGAGGTGAAGCCGCTTTCACAGAAACAATTAAAAATGTAGTTCCTCTGGTCAAGTTTACAAAATGTCAGTGTGAAGGGAAATCCTCAGATGTTGTTGTGCAAGTCTATGCATGTGAAAACCCCCCACCCCGTCAAAACAAAGGCGCTCACTGTCAGAGTTTCAGCCACATTTGCTGAAACAGTGTTGGATTTCAGCCTGCGAGTTTCTACTCCGACAAAAACACATAGATGTGTTTTTTTTTTTT